TATTCTTTATGATTAAACATCAAGTGGTTATTTATCAGTAAACATATTTATTCTCTCTTTGTGTTGGTGTCCAGTTTGTTCTCCGAGCAGTGGTAGTTTCCAGTGCAGATGTGAGGATCAGTATCGTTGGCCATGTGACCAGTGTTTCCTGTACGGACCCTGTGACAACATCACTGGTGACACATGTGGATGCATCAATGCCATTCCTCCTGATGGACAGTACTGCCAGTCTGCTCATCAGTACAGTAAGTTGGTTTGTAATAATTGTTACTCCACTGTGAAGTAATAAAATTGGAGTATGAACCTAGTATGTTTCTAATTTCACTGTTGGATGAGTCAGTACCAAAAACAGAGATAGATCTGGGTGTCGTCTGCATAACAATGTAGATTGATTTTGTATAATCTTATGAGATATCCTAATGGCAGCGTATAAATAATATATAAGGTTTCATTACATTATGATATCTTTTGTCTCCCTTTTTATCTATCTCTATGTATATCTCTATCTTGTTCTCTCTCTCTCTCTCTCTCTCTCTCTCTCTCTCTCTTTCTCTGCTTACAGACTTTACAGCTTGTCCTCTTACAACAACTCCTTCACCAACAAGTAAGTCTGACAAGACAATATTTAATTTGAAAACACACATAAAGATAAGCACAACACTGATTGCATGTGTGACAGAAACTGAACTTAATGTATGCATCTTCTCTCTGCAGCTCCTCCAGTTCTTTATGAATACCTGATTTCTATTGAGTTGAACAGCTCAGATGTTGCAGTAATAAATCAACTGAGGAGCATCCTGAGCAACATCAGTTACCCCATCGGCATCAGCAACCAAGTACAAATCTCGGATGTCAACATTTCCACAGGTGCATTCATAACTTTGCAGTCTAAAATGTAATTTCCAAACGGTATAATCTGTGTTTTCAGCTCATCCTACTGGTACATGACTTCTTTCAAATTTTGAATATTCTTAATTCTGGAATTTGGATTTGTATTCTTTATGATTAAACATCAAGTGGTTATTTATCAGTAAACATATTTATTCTCTCTTTGTGTTGGTGTCCAGTTTGTTCTCCGAGCAGTGGTAGTTTCCAGTGCAGATGTGAGGATCAGTATCGTTGGCCATGTGACCAGTGTTTCCTGTACGGACCCTGTGACAACATCACTGGTGACACATGTGGATGCATCAATGCCATTCCTCCTGATGGACAGTACTGCCAGTCTGCTCATCAGTACAGTAAGTTGGTTTGTAATAATTGTTACTCCACTGTGAAGTAATAAAATTGGAGTATGAACCTAGTATGTTTCTAATTTCACTGTTGGATGAGTCAGTACCAAAAACAGAGATAGTTCTGGGTGTCGTCTGCATAACAATGTAGATTGATTTTGTATAATCTTATGAGATATCCCAATGGCAGCGTATAAATAATATATAAGGTTTCATTACATTATATCTTTTGTCTCCCTTTTTATCTATCTCTATATATATCTCTATCTTGTTCTCTCTCTCTCTCTCTCTCTCTCTCTCTCTGTCTCTTTCTCTGCTTACAGACTTTACAGCTTGTCCTCTTACAACAACTCCTTCACCAACAAGTAAGTCTGACAAGACAATATTTAATTTGAAAACACACATAAAGATAAGCACAACACTGATTGCATGTGTTACAGAAACTGTACTTAATGTACGCATCTTCTCTCTGCAGCTCCTCCAGTTCTTTATGAATACCTGATTTCTATTGAGTTGAACATCTCAGATGTTGCAGTAATAAATCAACTGAGGAGCATTCTGAGCAACATCAGTTACCCCATCGGCATCAGCAACCAAGTACAAATCTCGGATGTCAACATTTCCACAGGTGCATTCATAACTTTGCAGTCTAAAATGTAATTTCCAAACGGTATAATCTGTGTTTTCAGCTCATCCTACTGGTACATGACTTCTTTCAAATTTTGAATATTCTTAATTCTGGAATTTGGATTTGTATTCTTTATGATTAAACATCAAGTGGTTATTTATCAGTAAACATATTTATTCTCTCTTTGTGTTGGTGTCCAGTTTGTTCTCCGAGCAGTGGTAGTTTCCAGTGCAGATGTGAGGATCAGTATCGTTGGCCATGTGACCAGTGTTTCCTGTACGGACCCTGTGACAACATCACTGGTGACACATGTGGATGCATCAATGCCATTCCTCCTGATGGACAGTACTGCCAGTCTGCTCATCAGTACAGTAAGTTGGTTTGTAATAATTGTTACTCCACTGTGAAGTAATAAAATTGGAGTATGAACCTAGTATGTTTCTAATTTCACTGTTGGATGAGTCAGTACCAAAAACAGAGATAGATCTGGGTGTCGTCTGCATAACAATGTAGATTGATTTTGTATAATCTTATGAGATATCCTAATGGCAGCGTATAAATAATATATAAGGTTTCATTACATTATGATATCTTTTGTCTCCCTTTTTATCTATCTCTATGTATATCTCTATCTTGTTCTCTCCCTCTCTCTCTCTCTCTCTCTCTCTCTCTGTCTCTTTCTCTGCTTACAGACTTTACAGCTTGTCCTCTTACAACAACTCCTTCACCAACAAGTAAGTCTGACAAGACAATATTTAATTTGAAAACACACATAAAGATAAGCACAACACTGATTGCATGTGTGACAGAAACTGAACTTAATGTATGCATCTTCTCTCTGCAGCTCCTCCAGTTCTTTTTGAATACCTGATTGCTATTGAGTTGAACATCTCAGATGTTGCAGTAATAAATCAACTGAGGAGCATCCTGAGCAACATCAGTTACCCCATCGGCATCAGCAACCAAGTACAAATCTCGGATGTCAACATTTCCACAGGTGCATTCATAACTTTGCAGTCTAAAATGTAATTTCCAAACGGTATAATCTGTGTTTTCAGCTCATCCTACTGGTACATGACTTCTTTCAAATTTTGAATATTCTTAATTCTGGAATTTGGATTTGTATTCTTTATGATTAAACATCAAGTGGTTATTTATCAGTAAACATATTTATTCTCTCTTTGTGTTGGTGTCCAGTTTGTTCTCCGAGCAGTGGTAGTTTCCAGTGCAGATGTGAGGATCAGTATCGTTGGCCATGTGACCAGTGTTTCCTGTACGGACCCTGTGACAACATCACTGGTGACACATGTGGATGCATCAATGCCATTCCTCCTGATGGACAGTACTGCCAGTCTGCTCATCAGTACAGTAAGTTGGTTTGTAATAATTGTTACTCCACTGTGAAGTAATAAAATTGGAGTATGAACCTAGTATGTTTCTAATTTCACTGTTGGATGAGTCAGTACCAAAAACAGAGATAGTTCTGGGTGTCGTCTGCATAACAAAGTAGATTGATTTTGTATAATCTTATGAGATATCCCAATGGCAGCGTATAAATAATATATAAGGTTTCATTACATTATGATATCTTTTGTCTCCCTTTTTATCTATCTCTATGTATATCTCTATCTTGTTCTCTCTCTCTCTCTCTCTCTCTCTCTCTCTGTCTCTTTCTCTGCTTACAGACTTTACAGCTTGTCCTCTTACAACAACTCCTTCACCAACAAGTAAGTCTGACAAGACAATATTTAATTTGAAAACACACATAAAGATAAGCACAACACTGATTGCATGCGTTACAGAAACTGTACTTAATGTACGCATCTTCTCTCTGCAGCTCCTCCAGTTCTTTATGAATACCTGATTTCTATTGAGTTGAACATCTCAGATGTTGCAGTAATAAATCAACTGAGGAGCATTCTGAGCAACATCAGTTACCCCATCGGCATCAGCAACCAAGTACAAATCTCGGATGTCAACATTTCCACAGGTGCATTCATAACTTTGCAGTCTAAAATGTAATTTCCAAACGGTATAATCTGTGTTTTCAGCTCATCCTACTGGTACATGACTTCTTTCAAATTTTGAATATTCTTAATTCTGGAATTTGGATTTGTATTCTTTATGATTAAACATCAAGTGGTTATTTATCAGTAAACATATTTATTCTCTCTTTGTGTTGGTGTCCAGTTTGTTCTCCGAGCAGTGGTAGTTTCCAGTGCAGATGTGAGGATCAGTATCGTTGGCCATGTGACCAGTGTTTCCTGTACGGACCCTGTGACAACATCACTGGTGACACATGTGGATGCATCAATGCCATTCCTCCTGATGGACAGTACTGCCAGTCTGCTCATCAGTACAGTAAGTTGGTTTGTAATAATTGTTACTCCACTGTGAAGTAATAAAATTGGAGTATGAACCTAGTATGTTTCTAATTTCACTGTTGGATGAGTCAGTACCAAAAACAGAGATAGATCTGGGTGTCGTCTGCATAACAATGTAGATTGATTTTGTATAATCTTATGAGATATCCTTATGGCAGCGTATAAATAATATATAAGGTTTCATTACATTATGATATCTTTTGTCTCCCTTTTTATCTATCTCTATGTATATCTCTATCTTGTTCTCTCCCTCTCTCTCTCTCTCTCTCTCTCTCTCTCTCTGTCTCTTTCTCTGCTTACAGACTTTACAGCTTGTCCTCTTACAACAACTCCTTCACCAACAAGTAAGTCTGACAAGACAATATTTAATTTGAAAACACACATAAAGATAAGCACAACACTGATTGCATGTGTGACAGAAACTGAACTTAATGTATGCATCTTCTCTCTGCAGCTCCTCCAGTTCTTTATGAATACCTGATTTCTATTGAGTTGAACAGCTCAGATGTTGCAGTAATAAATCAACTGAGGAGCATCCTGAGCAACATCAGTTACCCCATCGGCATCAGCAACCAAGTACAAATCTCGGATGTCAACATTTCCACAGGTGCATTCATAACTTTGCAGTCTAAAATGTAATTTCCAAACGGTATAATCTGTGTTTTCAGCTCATCCTACTGGTACATGACTTCTTTCAAATTTTGAATATTCTTAATTCTGGAATTTGGATTTGTATTCTTTATGATTAAACATCAAGTGGTTATTTATCAGTAAACATATTTATTCTCTCTTTGTGTTGGTGTCCAGTTTGTTCTCCGAGCAGTGGTAGTTTCCAGTGCAGATGTGAGGATCAGTATCGTTGGCCATGTGACCAGTGTTTCCTGTACGGACCCTGTGACAACATCACTGGTGACACATGTGGATGCATCAATGCCATTCCTCCTGATGGACAGTACTGCCAGTCTGCTCATCAGTACAGTAAGTTGGTTTGTAATAATTGTTACTCCACTGTGAAGTAATAAAATTGGAGTATGAACCTAGTATGTTTCTAATTTCACTGTTGGATGAGTCAGTACCAAAAACAGAGATAGTTCTGGGTGTCGTCTGCATAACAATGTAGATTGATTTTGTATAATCTTATGAGATATCCCAATGGCAGCGTATAAATAATATATAAGGTTTCATTACATTATGATATCTTTTGTCTCCCTTTTTATCTATCTCTATGTATATCTCTATCTTGTTCTCTCTCTCTCTCTCTCTCTCTCTCTCTCTCTGTCTCTTTCTCTGCTTACAGACTTTACAGCTTGTCCTCTTACAACAACTCCTTCACCAACAAGTAAGTCTGACAAGACAATATTTAATTTGAAAACACACATAAAGATAAGCACAACACTGATTGCATGTGTTACAGAAACTGTACTTAATGTACGCATCTTCTCTCTGCAGCTCCTCCAGTTCTTTATGAATACCTGATTTCTATTGAGTTGAACAGCTCAGATGTTGCAGTAATAAATCAACTGAGGAGCATCCTGAGCAACATCAGTTACCCCATCGGCATCAGCAACCAAGTACAAATCTCGGATGTCAACATTTCCACAGGTGCATTCATAACTTTGCAGTCTAAAATGTAATTTCCAAACGGTATAATCTGTGTTTTCAGCTCATCCTACTGGTACATGACTTCTTTCAAATTTTGAATATTCTTAATTCTGGAATTTGGATTTGTATTCTTTATGATTAAACATCAAGTGGTTATTTATCAGTAAACATATTTATTCTCTCTTTGTGTTGGTGTCCAGTTTGTTCTCCGAGCAGTGGTAGTTTCCAGTGCAGATGTGAGGATCAGTATCGTTGGCCATGTGACCAGTGTTTCCTGTACGGACCCTGTGACAACATCACTGGTGACACATGTGGATGCATCAATGCCATTCCTCCTGATGGACAGTACTGCCAGTCTGCTCATCAGTACAGTAAGTTGGTTTGTAATAATTGTTACTCCACTGTGAAGTAATAAAATTGGAGTATGAACCTAGTATGTTTCTAATTTCACTGTTGGATGAGTCAGTACCAAAAACAGAGATAGATCTGGGTGTCGTCTGCATAACAATGTAGATTGATTTTGTATAATCTTATGAGATATCCTAATGGCAGCGTATAAATAATATATAAGGTTTCATTACATTATGATATCTTTTGTCTCCCTTTTTATCTATCTCTATGTATATCTCTATCTTGTTCTCTCCCTCTCTCTCTCTCTCTCTCTCTCTCTCTGTCTCTTTCTCTGCTTACAGACTTTACAGCTTGTCCTCTTACAACAACTCCTTCACCAACAAGTAAGTCTGACAAGACAATATTTAATTTGAAAACACACATAAAGATAAGCACAACACTGATTGCATGTGTGACAGAAACTGAACTTAATGTATGCATCTTCTCTCTGCAGCTCCTCCAGTTCTTTATGAATACCTGATTTCTATTGAGTTGAACAGCTCAGATGTTGCAGTAATAAATCAACTGAGGAGCATCCTGAGCAACATCAGTTACCCCATCGGCATCAGCAACCAAGTACAAATCTCGGATGTCAACATTTCCACAGGTGCATTCATAACTTTGCAGTCTAAAATGTAATTTCCAAACGGTATAATCTGTGTTTTCAGCTCATCCTACTGGTACATGACTTCTTTCAAATTTTGAATATTCTTAATTCTGGAATTTGGATTTGTATTCTTTATGATTAAACATCAAGTGGTTATTTATCAGTAAACATATTTATTCTCTCTTTGTGTTGGTGTCCAGTTTGTTCTCCGAGCAGTGGTAGTTTCCAGTGCAGATGTGAGGATCAGTATCGTTGGCCATGTGACCAGTGTTTCCTGTACGGACCCTGTGACAACATCACTGGTGACACATGTGGATGCATCAATGCCATTCCTCCTGATGGACAGTACTGCCAGTCTGCTCATCAGTACAGTAAGTTGGTTTGTAATAATTGTTACTCCACTGTGAAGTAATAAAATTGGAGTATGAACCTAGTATGTTTCTAATTTCACTGTTGGATGAGTCAGTACCAAAAACAGAGATAGTTCTGGGTGTCGTCTGCATAACAATGTAGATTGATTTTGTATAATCTTATGAGATATCCCAATGGCAGCGTATAAATAGTATATAAGGTTTCATTACATTATGATATCTTTTGTCTCCCTTTTTATCTATCTCTATGTATATCTCTATCTTGTTCTCTCCCTCTCTCTCTCTCTCTCTCTCTCTGTCTCTTTCTCTGCTTACAGACTTTACAGCTTGTCCTCTTACAACAACTCCTTCACCAACAAGTAAGTCTGACAAGACAATATTTAATTTGAAAACACACATAAAGATAAGCACAACACTGATTGCATGTGTTACAGAAACTGAACTTAATGTATGCATCTTCTCTCTGCAGCTCCTCCAGTTCTTTATGAATACCTGATTTCTATTGAGTTGAACAGCTCAGATGTTGCAGTAATAAATCAACTGAGGAGCATCCTGAGCAACATCAGTTACCCCATCAGCATCAGCAACCAAGTACAAATCTCGGATGTCAACATTTCTACAGGTGCATTCATAACTTTGCAGTCTAAAATGTAATTTCCAAACGGTATAATCTGTGTTTTCAGCTCATCCTACAGGTACATGACTTCTTTCAAATTTTGAATATTCTTAATTCTGGAATTTGGATTTGTATTCTTTATGATTAAACATCAAGTGGTTATTTATCAGTAAACATATTTATTCTCTCTTTGTGTTGGTGTCCAGTTTGTTCTCCGAGCAGTGGTAGTTTCCAGTGCAGATGTGAGGATCAGTATCGTTGGCCATGTGACCAGTGTTTCCTGTACGGACCCTGTGACAACATCACTGGTGACACATGTGGATGCATCAATGCCATTCCTCCTGATGGACAGTACTGCAAGTCTGCTCATCAGTACAGTAAGTTGGTTTGTAATAATTGTTACTCCACTGTGAAGTTATAAAATTGGAGTATGAACCTAGTATGTTTCTAATTTCACTGTTGGATGAGTCAGTACCAAAAACAGAGATAGATCTCGGTGTCGTCTGCATAACAATGGAGATTGATTTTGTATAATCTTATGAGATATCCTAATGGCAGCATATAAATAGTAAATAACGTTTCATTACATTATGATATTTTTTGTCTCCCTTTTTATCTATCTCTATATATATCTCTATCTTGTTCTCTCTCTCTCTCTGTCTCTCTCTCTCTGTCTCTATCTCTGCTTACAGACTTTACAGCTTGTCCTCTTACAACAACTCCTTCACCAACAAGTAAGTCTGACAAGACAATATTTAATTTGAAAACACACATAAAGATAAGCACAACACTGATTGCATGTGTTACAGAAACTGTACTTAATGTATGCATCTTCTCTCTGCAGCTCCTCCAGTTCTTTATGAATACCTGATTTCTATTGAGTTGAACATCTCAGATGTTGCAGTAATAAATCAACTGAGGAGAATTCTGAGCAACATCAGTTACCCCATCAGAATCAGCAACCAAGTACAAATCTCAGATGTCAACATTTCTACAGGTGCATTCATAACTTTGCAGTCTAAAATGTAATTTCCAAACGGTATAATCTGTGTTTTCAGCTCATCCTACAGGTACATGACTTCTTTCAAATTTTGAATATTCTTAATTCTGGAATTTGGATTTGTATTCTTTATGATTAAACATCAAGTGGTTATTTATCAGTAAACATATTTATTCTCTCTTTGTGTTGGTGTCCAGTTTGTTCTCCGAGCAGTGGTAGTTTCCAGTGCAGATGTGAGGATCAGTATCGTTGGCCATGTGACCAGTGTTTCCTGTACGGACCCTGTGACAACATCACTGGTGACACATGTGGATGCATCAATGCCATTCCTCCTGATGGACAGTACTGCAAGTCTGCTCATCAGTACAGTAAGTTGGTTTGTAATAATTGTTACTCCACTGTGAAGTTATAAAATTGGAGTATGAACCTAGTATGTTTCTAATTTCACTGTTGGATGAGTCAGTACCAAAAACAGAGATAGATCTCGGGTGTCGTCTCCATAACAGTGGAGATTGATTTTGTATAATCTTATGAGATATCCTAATGGCAGCATATAAATAGTAAATAACGTTTCATTACATTATGATATTTTTGTCTCCCTTTTTATCTATCTCTATATATATCTCTATCTCGTTCTCTCTCTCTCTCTGTCTCTCTCTCTCTGTCTCTACTTACAGACTTTACAGCTTGTCCTCTTACAACAACTCCATCACCAACATGTAAGTCTGACAAGACAATATTTAATTTGAAAACACACATAAAGATAAGCACAACACTGATTGCATGTGTTACAGAAACTGTACTTAATGTATGCATCTTCTCTCTGCAGCTCCTCCAGTTCTTTATGAATACCTGATTTCTATTGAGTTGAACATCTCAGATGTTGCAGTAATAAATCAACTGAGGAGAATTCTGAGCAACATCAGTTACCCCATCAGAATCAGCAACCAAGTACAAATCTCAGATGTCAACATTTCTACAGGTGCATTCATAACTTTGCAGTCTAAAATGTAATTTCCAAACGGTATAATCTGTGTTTTCAGCTCATCCTACAGGTACATGACTTCTTTCAAATTTTGAATATTCTTAATTCTGGAATTTGGATTTGTATTCTTTATGATTGAACATCAAGTGGTTATTTATCAGTAAACATATTTATTCTCTCTTTGTGTTGGTGTCCAGTTTGTTCTCCGAGCAGTGGTGGTTTCCAGTGCAGGTGTGAGGATCAGTATCGTTGGCCATGTGACCAGTGTTTCCTGTACGGACCCTGTGACAACATCACTGGTGACACATGTGGATGCATCAATGCCATTCCTCCTGTTGGACAGTACTGCCAGTCTGCTCATCAGTACAGTAAGTTGGTTTGTAATAATTGTTACTCCACTGTGAAGTAATAAAATTGGAGCACGAACCTAGTATGTTTCTAATTTCACTGTTGGATGAGTCAGTACCAAAAACAGAGATAGATTTGGGTGTCGTCTGCATAACAATGTAGATTGATTTTGTATAATCTTATGAGATATCCTAATGGCAGCGTATAAATAATAAATAAGGTTTCATTACATTATGATATCTTTTGTCTGCCTTTTTATCTATCTCTATTTATATCTGTATCTCGTTCTCTCTTTCTCTCTCTCTCTGTCTCTACTTACAGACTTTACAGCTTGTCCTCTTACAACAACTCCTTCACCAACAAGTAAGCCTGAAAAGACAATATTTAATTTGAAAACACACATAAAGACAAGCACAACACTGATTGCATGTGTTACAGAAACTGTACTTAATGTATGCATCTTCTCTCTGCAGCTCCTCCAGTTCTTTATGAATACCTGATTTCTATTGAGTTGAACATCTCAGATGTTGCAGTAATAAATCAACTGAGGAGCATTCTGAGCAACATCAGTTACCCCATCAGAATCAGCAACCAAGTACAAATCTCAGATGTCAACATTTCTACAGGTGCATTCATAACTTTGCAGTCTAAAATGTAATTTCCAAACGGCATAATCTGTGTTTTCAGCTCATCCTACTGGTACATGACTTCTTTCAAATTTTGAATATTCTTAATTCTGGAATTTGGATTTGTATTCTTTATGATTAAACATCAAGTGGTTATTTATCAGTAAACATATTTATTCTCTCTTTGTGTTGGTGTCCAGTTTGTTCTCTGAGCAGTGGTGGTTTCCAGTGCAGATGTGAGGATCAGTATCGTTGGCCATGTGACCAGTGTTTCCTGTACGGACCCTGTGACAACATCACTGGTGACACATGTGGATGCATCAATGCCATTCCTCCTGTTGGACAGTACTGCCAGTCTGCTCATCAGTACAGTAAGTTGGTTTGTAATAATTGTTACTGCACTGTGAAGTAATAGAATTGGAGTATGAACCTAGTATGTTTCTAATTTCACTGTTGGATGAGTCAGTACCAAAAACAGAGATAGATCTGGGTGTCGTCTGCATAACAATGTAGATTGATTTTGTATAATTTTATGAGATATCCTAATGGCAGCGTATAAATAATAAATAAGGTTTCATTACATTATGATATCTTTTGTCTGCCTTTTTATCTATCTCTATTCATATCTCTATGTCGTTCTCTCTCTCCTCTCTCTCTCTCTCTGTCTCTACTTACAGACTTTACAGCTTGTCCTCTTACAACAACTCCTTCACCAACAAGTAAGCCTGAAAAGACAATATTTAATTTGAAAACACACAAAAAGACAAGCACAACACTGATTGCATGTGTTACAGAAACTGTACTTAATGTATGCATCTTCTCTCTGCAGCTCCTCCAGTTCTTTATGAATACCTGATTTCTATTGAGTTGAACAGCTCAGATGTTGCAGTAATAAATCAACTGAGGAGCATCCTGAGCAACATCAGTTACCCCATCAGCATCAGCAACCAAGTACAAATCTCGGATGTCAACATTTCTACAGGTGCATTCATAACTTTGCAGTCTAAAATGTAATTTCCAAACGGTATAATCTGTGTTTTCAGCTCATCCTACTGGTACATGACTTCTTTCAAATTTTGAATATTCTTAATTCTGGAATTTGGATTTGTATTCTTTATGATTAAACATCAAGTGGTTATTTATCAGTAAACATATTTATTCTCTCTTTGTGTTGGTGTCCAGTTTGTTCTCCGAGCAGTGGTAGTTTCCAGTGCAGATGTGAGGATCAGTATCGTTGGCCATGTGACCAGTGTTTCCTGTACGGACCCTGTGACAACATCACTGTTGACACATGTGGATGCATCAATGCCATTCCTCCTGATGGACAGTACTGCAAGTCTGCTCATCAGTACAGTAAGTTGGTTTGTAATAATTGTTACTCCACTGTGAAGTTATAAAATTGGAGTATGAACCTAGTATTTTCTAATTTCACTGTTGGATGAGTCAGTACCAAAAACAGAGATAGATCTCGGTGTCGTCTCCATAACAGTGGAGATTGATTTTGTATAATCTTATGAGATATCCTAATGGCAGCATATAAATAGTAAATAACGTTTCATTACATTATGATATCTTTTGTCTCCCTTTTTATCTATCTCTATATATATCTCTCACTCGTTCTCTCTCTCTCTCTGTCTCTCTCTCTCTGTCTCTACTTACAGACTTTACAGCTTGTCCTCTTACAACAACTCCATCACCAACATGTAAGTCTGACAAGACAATATTTAATTTGAAAACACACATAAAGATAAGCACAACACTGATTGCATGTGTTACAGAAACTGTACTTAATGTATGCATCTTCTCTCTGCAGCTCCTCCAGTTCTTTATGAATACCTGATTTCTATTGAGTTGAACATCTCAGATGTTGCAGTAATAAATCAACTGAGGAGAATTCTGAGCAACATCAGTTACCCCATCAGAATCAGCAACCAAGTACAAATCTCAGATGTCAACATTTCTACAGGTGCATTCATAACTTTGCAGTCTAAAATGTAATTTCCAAACGGTATAATCTGTGTTTTCAGCTCATCCTACAGGTACATGACTTCTTTCAAATTTTGAATATTCTTAATTCTGGAATTTGGATTTGTATTCTTTATGATTAAACATCAAGTGGTTATTTATCAGTAAACATATTTATTCTCTCTTTGTGTTGGTGTCCAGTTTGTTCTCCGAGCAGTGGTGGTTTCCAGTGCAGGTGTGAGGATCAGTATCGTTGGCCATGTGACCAGTGTTTCCTGTACGGACCCTGTGACAACATCACTGGTGACACATGTGGATGCATCAATGCCATTCCTCCTGTTGGACAGTACTGCCAGTCTGCTCATCAGTACAGTAAGTTGGTTTGTAATAATTGTTACTCCACTGTGAAGTAATAAAATTGGAGCACGAACCTAGTATGTTTCTAATTTCACTGTTGGATGAGTCAGTACCAAAAACAGAGATAGATTTGGGTGTCGTCTGCATAACAATGTAGATTGATTTTGTATAATCTTATGAGATATCCTAATGGCAGCGTATAAATAATAAATAAGGTTTCATTACATTATGATATCTTTTGTCTGCCTTTTTATCTATCTCTATTTATATCTGTATCTCGTTCTCTCTTTCTCTCTCTCTCTGTCTCTACTTACAGACTTTACAGCTTGTCCTCTTACAACAACTCCTTCACCAACAAGTAAGCCTGAAAAGACAATATTTAATTTGAAAACACACATAAAGACAAGCACAACACTGATTGCATGTGTTACAGAAACTGTACTTAATGTATGCATCTTCTCTCTGCAGCTCCTCCAGTTCTTTATGAATACCTGATTTCTATTGAGTTGAACATCTCAGATGTTGCAGTAATAAATCAACTGAGGAGCATTCTGAGCAACATCAGTTACCCCATCAGAATCAGCAACCAAGTACAAATCTCAGATGTCAACATTTCTACAGGTGCATTCATAACTTTGCAGTCTAAAATGTAATTTCCAAACGGTATAATCTGTGTTTTCAGCTCATCCTACTGGTACATGACTTCTTTCAAATTTTGAATATTCTTAATTCTGGAATTTGGATTTGTATTCTTTATGATTAAACATCAAGTGGTTATTTATCAGTAAACATATTTATTCTCTCTTTGTGTTGGTGTCCAGTTTGTTCTCTGAGCAGTGGTGGTTTCCAGTGCAGATGTGAGGATCAGTATCGTTGGCCATGTGACCAGTGTTTCCTGTACGGACCCTGTGACAACATCACTGGTGACACATGTGGATGCATCAATGCCATTCCTCCTGTTGGACAGTACTGCCAGTCTGCTCATCAGTACAGTAAGTTGGTTTGTAATAATTGTTACTGCACTGTGAAGTAATAGAATTGGAGTACGAACCTAGTATGTTTCTAATTTCACTGTTGGATGAGTCAGTACCAAAAACAGAGATAGATCTGGGTGTCGTCTGCATAACAATGTAGATTGATTTTGTATAATTTTATGAGATATCCTAATGGCAGCGTATAAATAATAAATAAGGTTTCATTACATTATGATATCTTTTGTCTGCCTTTTTATCTATCTCTATTCATATCTCTATGTCGTTCTCTCTTTCTCTCTCTCTCTGTCTCTACTTACAGACTTTACAGCTTGTCCTCTTACAACAACTCCTTCACCAACAAGTAAGCCTGAAAAGACAATATTTAATTTGAAAACACACAAAAAGACAAGCACAACACTGATTGCATGTGTTACAGAAACTGTACTTAATGTATGCATCTTCTCTCTGCAGCTCCTCCAGTTCTTTATGAATACCTGATTTCTATTGAGTTGAACATCTCAGATGTTGCAGTAATAAATCAACTGAGGAGCATTCTGAGCAACATCAGTTACCCCATCAGAATCAGCAACCAAGTACAAATCTCAGATGTCAACATTTCTACAGGTGCATTCATAACTTTGCAGTCTAAAATGTAATTTCCAAAAGGTATAATCTGTGTTTTCAGCTCATCCTACTGGTACATGACTTCTTTCAAATTTTGAATATTCTTAATTCTGGAATTTGGATTTGTATTCTTTATGATTAAACATCAAGTGGTTATTTATCAGTAAACATATTTATTCTCTCTTTGTGTTGGTGTCCAGTTTGTTCTCTGAGCAGTGGTGGTTTCCAGTGCAGATGTGAGGATCAGTATCGTTGGCCATGTGACCAGTGTTTCCTGTACGGACCCTGTGACAACATCACTGGTGACACATGTGGATGCATCAATGCCATTCCTCCTGTTGGACAGTACTGCCAGTCTGCTCATCAGTACAGTAAGTTGGTTTGTAATAATTGTTACTGCACTGTGAAGTAATAGAATTGGAGTACGAACCTAGTATGTTTCTAATTTCACTGTTGGATGAGTCAGTACCAAAAACAGAGATAGATCTGGGTGTCGTCTGCATAACAATGTAGATTGATTTTGTATAATCTTATGAGATATCCTAATGGCAGCGTATAAATAATAAATAAGGTTTCATTACATTATGATATCTTTTGTCTGCCTTTTTATCTATCTCTATTCATATCTCTATGTCGTTCTCTCCCTCTGTCTCTCTCTCTGTCTCTTCTTATAGACTTTACAGCTTGTCCTCTTACAACAACTCCTTCACCAACAAGTAAGTCTGACAAGACAATACTTAAGTTGAAAACACACAAAAAGATAAGCACAACACTGATTGCATGTGTTACAGAAACTGTACTCAATGTATGCATCTTCTCTCTGCAGCTCCTCCAGTTCTTTATGAATACCTGATTTTTATTGAGTTGAACATCTCAGATGTTGTAGTAATAAATCAACTGAGGAGCATTCTGAGCAACATCAGTTACCCCATCGGCATCAGCAACCAAGTACAAATCTCTGATGTCAACATTTCTACAGGTACATTCATAAGTTTGCAGTCTAAAATGTAATTTCCAAACGGTATAATCTGTGTTTTCAGCTCATCGTGCTGGTACATGACTTCTTTCAAACTTTGAATATTCTTAATTCTGGAATTTGGATCTGTATTCTTTATGATTAAACATCAAGTGATTATTTATCAGTAAACATATTTATTCTCTCTTTGATTTGGTGTCCAGTTTGTTCTCCGAGCAGTGGTAGTTTCCAGTGCAGATGTGAGGATCAGTATCGTTGGCCATGTGACCAGTGTTTCCTGTACGGACCCTGTGACAACATCGCTGATGACACATGTGGATGCATCAATGCCATTCCTCCTGATGGACAGTACTGCCAGTCTGCTCATGAATACAGTAAGCTTTTTTCCACCAGGCTGTCCTTGTTTATCAAAGGATTGAAACATACAGTATATATGAAGGGGAAACCTTTTTAAAGCTTTTACTTCATGATTCTATATATATTGCATATATATTTCCTTGAAATATGTATGAACTGTCCTTGTTTGTCAGGAAAGATGAAGGTGACATTGTTACAATCATTATTTTTTCATCACTCCTCCTCAATGATGACATTTCCTTTAGATAGATAGATAGATAGATAGATAGATATACTTTATTGATGCCAAACTGGGAAATTGCAGTGTAGCAGCAGCATTACACACAGTAACAACACAATGAAGTAACAACCTAGACATATAAAAAAAGCAATATAAAATGCAATATAAAACATCTATAAAATGTATAAATAAGCCGTATAATTGTAGTGCAAATTAAAAATATAAGGTGCAGTGAACAGATAAAACATATAAGGTGCTTGGAGACTGTATTGTTATGACCAGAGTTTTAGCTGTTATTGTACAATGTGATGGCATGTGGCAGGAAAGATTTCCTGTATCTGTCCCTTCGACAGCGGAGCTGGAGCAGCCTGTGAGAGAAGGTGCTCTGCTGTCCAACCACTGTTTGATGGAGAGGGTGCTGATCATTGTCTATGATGGATAACAGTTTATTCAGCGTTCTCTCCACCACGGACTCAAAATACTCCAGCCTGAGACCAAGTACAGAGCCAGCCTTCTTGATGATTTTATCAAGTCCGTTGGTGGCGCTGGCTCTGATGCTGCTACCCAAACACACAACAGCAAAGAAAATGGCGCTGGCAACAACAGACTGGTAGAAGATCTCCAACATCTTGCTGCACACGTTGAAGGATCTCAGCTTCCTTAGGAAATAGAGTCTGCTCATCCCCTTCTTGTAAACAGCCTCGTGTTAGATTTCCAGTCCAGTCTGTTGCCGTTCACCACTCCCAAATATTTGTAGTCCTCCACCTCCTCCACCACCTCCCCCCTGATCCACTGTGGCTGTGAAGGCATCCTCTTTTTCCTACCGAAGTCGATCACCATCTCTCTGGTCTTGTTGACATTCAGCCTCAGGTGATTCTGTTCGGACCACTCTACAAAGTTGTCTGCCAGTGTCCTGTACTCACCCTCATCTCCCCCTCTTATACACCCAACAACAGCTGAGTCGTCAGAAAACTTCTGCAGGTGACATGACTCAGAGTTGTACTGAAAGTCAGTGGTGTATAAGGTGAAGAGGAAGGGAGAAAGCACAGTTCCCTGTGGAGCTCCTGTATCACTGACCACCACGTCAGACAGGACACTGCCCAGATGGACAAACTGTGGCCTGCCTGTCAAGTAGTCTGTAATCCAGGAGATCATAGTGTCGTCAACACCCACCACCCGCAGATTCTCACCCATTAGCAGAGGCTGAATGGTGTTGAAAGCACTGGAGAAATCAAAGAATGTGATCCCTTACAGTGCCTCCCCCACCATCCAGATGCATATGGGCTCGTTGCAGCAGGTAGATGACAGAATCATGGACTCCTAAATGGGGCTGATAGGCAAATTGCAAAGGGTCCAGAAGGGTCCTCATCTGTGGCCTCAGCTAGGCTAAGACCAATCTCTCCAGGACCTTCATCACATTACTGGTCATAACTGGTCTGTAATCTGTACTTTCCTTCTCCTCTGTCCCTCTACCTACAGACTTCACAGCTTGTCCCCAAACACCAACCTCTCCACCATCAACAAGTAAGCATGAGAAGATCACATTTAATAAATAATAAAAAATATACATTACAAGTGATACCACTGACATCATCTTTTACATCTTCTTTCATTTCTTTGCTGACAGCTCCTCCTCCAACAACAACCTCTCCACCATCAACAAGTAAGCCTGCAAAGATCATATTTAATAAAGAATAATAATACACATTACATATGATACCACTAACATCATCTTTTCCATCTTTGCTGACAGCTCCTCCTCCAACAACAACCTCTCCACCATCAACAAGTAAGCCTGAGAAGATCATATGTAATAAATAATAATAATACACATTACAAGTGATACCACTAACATCCTCCTTTTCAACTTCTTTCCTTTCTTTGCTGACAGCTCCTCCTCCAACAACAACCTCTCCACCACCAACAAGTAAGAGTGAAAGGACATTATTTAACCATTCAGCACCATGAAACGTGTCATACCTTATAGAGAAACAACACACTGTTTTCCCTCATTTTTTATATTTCTGTCTTGCCTTTAATCTCTCTCTCTGCAGCTCCTCTAGTTCTTTATGAATACCTGATTTCTATTGAGTTGAACATCTCAGATGTTGCAGTAATAAATCAACTGAGGAGCATTCTGAGCAACATCAGTTACCCCATCAGCATCAGCAACCAACTACAAATCTTTGATGTCAACATTTCTACAGGTACAGCCAACAGCCTCTTTCACTTTGGTTTACTTTATTCTGAATTGTTATACAGTAAATAAGTGAAATGCGTGGTAACTCTGTATTATGACCCTCCAGTATGATATTTTGAGGCTATAGTCTTGTTTCCAGTTTGGTCTTTGAGTGAAACAAAAAGACATCTGCTTTTGCTTCATTCATGCAAAGTCATTTCTTTATTAGAACTCCGATTAACAGTCAATGATCAATATGTCACAGTAAGGAAATTTGTGACATACTTAGCTCCACATATCAATAGTAATTTTGTAGCTTAGATATTTAGATATTGAACATGAAATGTCTTCATAGATGAAATTCATTCTGTGTTTTGGTGTCCAGTTTGTTCTCCGAGCAGTGGTAGTTTCCAGTGCATATGTGAGGATCAGTATCGTTGGCCATGTGACCAGTGTTCCCTGTACGGACCCTGTGACAACATCACTGATGACACATGTGGATGCATCAATGCCATTCCTCCTGATGGACAGTACTGCCAATCTGCTCATCAGTACAGTAAGCTGTTTTCCACCAGGCTGTACTGGTTTATCAAAGGATTGAAACATACAGTATATATGAAGGGGAAACCTTTTTAAAGCTCTTCCTTCATAATTCTAGCTATATTGCATATATATTTCTTTTAAATATGTATGAACTTTCCTTGTTTGGCAGGAAAGATGAAGGTGACATTGTTACAATCATTCATTTTGTCATCACTCCTCCTCAATGGTGACATTTCCTTTACTGGTCATAACTGGTCTGTAATCTGTACTTTCTCTCTCCTCTGTCCCTATACCAACAGACTTCACAGCTTGTCCCCAAACACCAACCTCTCCACCATCAACAAGTAAGAGGGAAAGGATAATATTTAATCATTCAGTAGCATAAAACATGTAATACCTTATAGAGAAACAACACACTGTTTTCCCTCATTTTTTATATTTCTGTCTTGCCTTTAATCTCTCTCTCTGCAGCTCCTCTAGTTCTTTATGAATACCTGATTTCTATTGAGTTGAACATCTCAGATGTTGCAGTAATAAATAAACTGAGGAGCATTCTGAGCAACATCAGTTACCCCATCAGCATCAGCAACCAACTACAAATCTCTGATGTCAACATTTCTACAGGTACAGCAAGCAGCTTCTTTCACTTTGGTTTAATTTATTCAGAATTGTTATACAGTAAATATGTGAAATATGTGGTTACTCTATATTATGATATTTTGAGGCTATAGTCTTGTTTCCAGTTTGGTCTTTGAGTAAACCAAAAAGATATCTGCTTTTACTTTGTTCATGCAAAGTCATTTCTGTATTATAACTCAGATTAACAGTCAATGATCAATATGTCACAGTAAGGAAAATTTGTGACATACTCAGCTCCACATATCAAGAGTAATTTTGTAGCTTAGATATTTAGATATTGAACATGAAATGTCTTCATAGATGAAATTCATTCTCTGTGTCCAGTTTGTTCTCCGAGCAGTGGTGATTTCCAGTGCAGATGTGAGGATCTGTATCGTTGGCCATGTGACCAGTGTTTCCGTTACGGACCCTGTGACAACATCACTGGTGACACATGTGGATGCATCAATGCCATTCCTCCTGATGGACAGTACTGCCAATCTGCTCATCAGTACAGTAAGCTGTTTTCCACCAGGCTGTACTGGTTTGTCAAAGGATTGAAACATACAGAATATATGAAGGGGAAACCTTTTTAAAGCTCTTCCTTCATAATTCTAGCTATATTGCATATATATTTCTTTTAAATATGTATGAACTTTCCTTGTTTGGCAGGAAAGATGAAGGTGACATTGTTACAATCATTCATTTTGTCATCACTCCTCCTCAATGGTGACATTTCCTTTACTGGTCATAACTGGTCTGTAATCTGTACTTTACTTCTCCTCTGTCCCTATACTAACAGACTTCACAGCTTGTCCCCAAACAACACCCTCTCCACCATCAACAAGTAAGCATGAGAAGATCACATTTAATAAATAATAATAATAATAATACACATTACAAGTAATACCGCTAACAACACCGGTTCCATCTTCTTTCATTTCTTTGCTGACAGCTCCTCCTCCAACAACAACCTCTCCACCACCAACAAGTAAGCCTAATAAGATCATATCTATTAAATAATAATAATACACATTACATGTGATACCACTAACATCATCTTTTTCATCTTCTTTCATTTCTTTGCTGACAGCTCCTCCTCCAACAACAACCTCTCCACCACCAACAAGTAAGAGTGAAAGGACATTATTTAATCATTCAGCACCATGAAACATGTGTCATACCTTATAGAGAAACAACAGACTGTTTTCCCTCATTTTTTATATTTCTGTCTTGCCTTTAATCTCTCTCTCTGCAGCTCCCCTAGTTCTTTATGAGTACCTGATTTCTATTGAGTTGAACATCTCAGATGTTGCAGTAATAAATCAACTGAGGAGCATTCTGAGCAACATCAGTTACCCCATCAGCATCAGCAACCAACTACAAATATCTGATGTCAACATTTCTACAGGTACAGCAAGCAGCTTCTTTCACTTTGGTTTACTTTATTCAGAATTGTTATAAAGTGAATATGTGAAATACATGGTTACTCTGTATTATGATATTTTGAGGCTATAGTCTTATTTCCAGTTTGGTCTTTGAGTGAACCAAAAAGACATCTGCTTTTACTTTGTTCATGCAAAGTCATTTCTGTATTATAACTCAGATTAACAGTCAATATGTCACAGTAAGGACAATTTGTGACATACACACATCAAGAGTAATTTTGTAGCTTAGATATTTAGATATTAAACATGAAATGTCTTCATAGATGAAATTCATTCTGTGTGTCCAGTTTGTTCTCCGAGCAGTGGTGGTTTCCAGTGCAGATGTGAGGATCAGTATCGTTGGCCATGTGACCAGTGTTTCCGTTACGGACCCTGTGACAACATCAATGGTGACACATGTGGATGCATCAATGCCATTCCTCCTGATGGACAGTACTGCCAGTCTGCTCATCAGTACAGTAAGCTGTTTTCCACCAGGCTGTACTGGTTTGTCAAAGGATTGAAACATACAGAATATATGAAGGGGAAACCTTTTTAAAGCTCTTCCTTCATAATTCTAGCTATATTGCATATATATTTCTTTTAAATATGTATGAACTTTCCTTGTTTGGCAGGAAAGATGAAGGTGACATTGTTACAATCATTCATTTTGTCATCACTCCTCCTCAATGGTGACATTTCCTTTACTGGTCATAACTGGTCTGTAATCTGTACTTTCCTTCTCCTCTGCCCCTTTACCAACAGACTTCACAGCTTGTCCCCAAACACCAACCTCTCCACCATCAACAAGTAAGCATGAGAAGATAACATTTAATAAATAATAAAAATATACATTACAAGTGATACCACTAACAACACCAATTCAATCTTCTTTCATTTCTTTGCTGACAGCTTCTCCTCCAACAACAACCTCTCCACCACCAACAAGTAAGCCTGAGAAGATCACATTTAATAAATAATAATAATACACATTACAAGTAATACCACTAACAACACCGGTTCCATCTTCTTTCATTTCTTTGCTGACAGCTCCTCCTCCAACAACAACCTCTCCACCACCAACAAGTAAGCCTAATAAGATCATATCTATTAAATAATAATAATACACATTACATGTGATACCACTAACATCATCTTTTTCATCTTCTTTCATTTCTTTGCTGACAGCTCCTCCTCCAACAACAACCTCTCCACCACCAACAAGTAAGAGTGAAAGGACATTATTTAATCATTCAGCACCATGAAACATGTGTCATACCTTATAGAGAAACAACACACTGTTTTCCCTCATTTTTTATATTTCTGTCTTGCCTTTAATCTCTCTCTCTCTGCAGCTCCTCTAGTTCTTTATGAATACCTGATTTCTATTGAGTTGAACATCTCAGATGTTGCAGTAATAAATCAACTGAGGAGCATTCTGAGCAACATCAGTTACCCCATCAGCATCAGCAACCAACTACAAATATCTGATGTCAACATTTCTACAGGTACAGCAAGCAGCTTCTTTCACTTTGGTTTACTTTATTCAGAATTGTTATAAAGTGAATATGTGAAATACATGGTTACTCTGTATTATGATATTTTGAGGCTATAGTCTTATTTCCAGTTTGGTCTTTGAGTGAACCAAAAGACATCTGCTTTTACTTTGTTCATGCAAAGTCATTTCTGTATTATAACTCAGATTAACAGTCAATATCAAATGTCACAGTAAGGACAATTTGTGACATACTCACCACACATCAAGAGTAATTTTGTAGCTTAGATATTTAGATATTAAACATGAAATGTCTTCATAGATGAAATTCATTCTGTGTGTCCAGTTTGTTCTCCGAGCAGTGGTGGTTTCCAGTGCAGATGTGAGGATCAGTATCGTTGGCCATGTGACCAGTGTTTCCGTTACGGACCCTGTGACAACATCAATGGTGACACATGTGATTGCATCAATGCCATTCCTCCTGATGGACAGTACTGCCAGTCTGCTCATCAGTACAGTAAGTTGGTTTGTAGTAATTGTTGAAGCCAGTGTAATAGGTATTCAAAAGGTTAGAAAAAAGGGTCACAGGAAGGCAAGACTGTGTCTCAGAATTGTTTAAATCATTAGGGACCGAGCTAGCGACTAGAATTATTATTATTTTTCAGCATTTCGACTGCATTTTTGCCCCACTGAACATATACGAAAAGTTAATCTTATTTGGCAAAGTGGTCAGGCCTTGTGAAAAATTTGATATTCTGTGGGTCTCGGACATATACATAGAAAAATGGTTAGACAGCACCCCCTATTGAGCATTCCCAACGGCACATTTCACCTATGAGTATGAAAAGTGGTACACACGTAGAACTTATCCAGACGAACAAAAAAACCCAACAGGAAGTCAGCCATTTCTGACAATTTGCACACGTTGTATTTGAACGAACTCCTCCTAGGGAATTGATCGGATCAACTTCAGATTTGGACACAGCCATCTGAAGACATTAATGATTAAAAGTTCTGCTATTTACGACATTCCATCGAACAACGTGCCCGTGGTGTGGCGTGGAATTTCAACAACTCGCCATGAAAGAGGGATTTGTCATAACTTCTGCGTACATGATCCGATCTCAATGAAACTTCACGTTTGATAAGAGTCCCGCCCTGAACATGTCTACAGTATGTGATAGTATTCAGTAATAGTGAAAGCGTCACCCCAAACGCCTAGTAGGAGTTGGGGGGCTAAAGATGTCGGAAAACTCATGAAACTTTGCACAAAATTCAGTTGTAGCGAAGGCTAAGGTACTGTCTTGTTCCCGCAGATGGGCTTCGCATAATGGCTTAGCTCACTGTGCAGAGACCGTAATAGTTGTGAATATGAAATTCAAAACTCACATGTAGACTGGTGCCTGTAGCTCACATACCAAAAATCGTGTTTGTCCACCAGCAGGTGGCGCTATAATACATTTTTTTGATAACTTTCAGATACTATATGGCGCACTTAAATTATTCATATCAACGTATTCCCTGAATTGACCTGAATCCAGAGATATAAGCCACGCCCATTACATCGCAATTTCTTCACGCAAAATGGCGAAATTTGCAAAGCCTATTTTTCACATCTCCTAGGCGTTTAGTGCGATCTCCATGAAATTTTGCACATAGCATCTGTGGACTAGCCTGACACAAAGTTATATAAAGAATTCTAATAGTCCAAAAGATGTTCAAGTTATACAATGATAATTTCCTGCACATTGTGGTCAAAAGAGTAAGTTGCGCACATGGTGAATTAATCCGATTAACACTAAACTTTTGCCAGTCGTGTCACATGCGCTGCTGAGGATATGTGCAAAATTTGGTGCAAATATGACACTAGATGGAGATTTTATCGCTAAAAAGAAAAATCATGAATTTTGGGCGGTTGTTGCCATGGCAACCAAAAAAGCCACCTTACAGCATGTTTGAGGGGTTAAACAGGCTCCAAAACTTATGAAACTTTGCACAAAATTCAGTCGTGGCGAAGGCTAAATTATTGCTTTGGTCCCACTGATGGGCATTGCATAATGGCTTAGCCATGCCCCCCAGAATTGGCCCCCAAGACACGTACGACCGACATGTATGGAAATTGGTATGCATGTGTACCATGAAGAGACAAGCAAAAAAGCCTCTTGAACCCATAACCCAAACCCAACAGGAAGTCGGCCATTTTGATTTTTATATTCATTTTCGGCAAAAAAAAATTTTCCTAGGGAATTTTAATGGCTCTACTTCAAAATTGGTCAGTACAGCCAAAAAACATTGCTGATTAAAAGTTTTTCTATTTGTGACTGTACATTGAATGGCGTGCAGTCAAATTCGGCCACGTTGAATTTCACAGTGATTTTCAGCGGTTTTTTGCATTGTATTTGAACGAACTCCTCCTAATTTATCAGATCTGCTTTAAAATTGGTCAGTACAGTGACTGTTGAAGCGCATGTCTGTGGCAAGCTGTCAGAGTTGGCCAGGTTGAATCGAATGTCAAACTGTGATGCCATTTCGAGCATTTCAGGGCTTCTATATTAACTAACTCCTCCCACAGATTTTATCGGATTGACTTCAAATTCGATCACTGCAATCTAGACCCATTGGTGATCAAAAGATAATCCAATATTTACTGTGCATCAAACGACGTGACCATGGCATGGCGCTGAATTCCCACGTTTTGCAGTGAAGAGTCTCACTATGAATGCATAAGTCTTTTGCACAGTGTCTGAAATGTGTGACGCGGTCTCCTTCTGCTTCCGGCAATGAGGGCTAGTGCGTGGGGTGACATGGCGTGTCGTGGCTGCGTCAGGCAACCGCTGTGCAGGCCCCGCCCAATGCTGCTTACAGCTTTAATTTGAATTGAGTCTAATTGAGACCAACTGACAGGGGGTCTACCAGTGAGGTAATACTCTGATGGATGAGGGAGATTTTCTGAGTAAAAAAGTTTTAAAACTCATTGCAGGTTTCAGGGCTAGCGTCTACAGAGGGGACAGGGGGGGCATCAGTGGCACAGCTTACAATGTTAACAAGCACCTTAGGATCAGACCTACTAGATTCAATGAGATTTGAGAAATAGGCGTGTCTAGACCTCTTAAGTAGTATGTGAGATGCGTTATTGTAGAAACCCTTCTTTCAACACCTGGTTTTGGATTAACACAGAAATGAAGAGAAAACACTTTGAATGGCAGATAAATAAAGGAAGGGAGATATTCCGTGTCACATTTGAAAATATCTATGGAAACAGCTATTATATCTTTCAATTGAATTTTAGTTATTTTGATAGAATACAACAAACATGATAAATACTGACAGAGAATGGATAATGTTTTATTAGAAAGTTTATCTCTGTTGTTTAAGACAGTCTTGTTACAGTCTGTAGTGCCACATTTTAGCCTGCTTGGCAGTTATTTGACTTCCTGAAACCTGAATAACTGGCTTCTCTTGAGCCACTTTATCATATTTCAAGAAGATTACTGTCTCTCTCTCTGTCATTCTTGGCTTTGTGCTGTCAGAAGACAGGAGCTTGCTTCAGTCAGAAGGAAACCTTTGGAAACAGCGCCATCTGTGGATGAAAATACATCAATATATTATAATATATGTTGTATCTCTATTTATCTGTCCATCTCTTTCTCTCATTCTTTCTTTCTCTCTCTCTCTGCTTACAGACTTTACAGCTTGTCCTCTTACAACTCCTTCACCAACAAGTAAGTCTGACAAGAAAATATTTAATTTAAAAAAACACAAAAATATAAGCACAGCACTGATTGCATGTATTGCAGAAACTTTCCCACATGTAGACTTACTTAGTTGAGCTGCCCTGTCTCGTTGACAAGGTGGACATTTTACAAGCATTGACCAGGAAAGCAACAGTTTCGTTTTCAATAGTCGAAGTCATTAACAAGCCTCCTCAACATATGTCAACACCTGTTGCTGTGAAAACAGAACCCTTGGGGCGACTTTATAATAGTACTGCTGTCTAACAAAGTCAATAAAGCAGACACACACAGTCAAATAGTTGCCACAAGCAGTTGCCACAACACTAACAACAATTGTTACAAATAAATGCCTAAAAATAATAACGATTGTCACAATATAAAACTGCAGCAAAAACTTATAGTAAGTGATTTGGGCTTGAATACTTAAATTTCAATTGTAAGCAGTTAGTGGGTCAGTTAAGATCATGTGACATACTTGTGCATTACAATGTAGTAAAACCATACAGTTGTTTTCTATTGTTATTGTTAAAATGCTCTTTTCAGATTCAACACCCATTGCTACAACACCTGTGAACACTACAACACCCACAATCCCACCAACAAGTGAGTGCTTAAAACTGATTCTTACATTACTCCATCTTGTTATAACAGACAGTTATTGACTTAACTGACTTGTCAGATTTCACTTTTCAGATTAACATGCATAATTCTAAAATGTTTTTCATCAGATTCAACAACACCACCACCACCACCAACAACAACAACAACACCTCCACCAACCACAACACCAACACCAACACCAACAGCAAGTAAGTGCTTAAAAATAATTGTATAGTCTTGAGTATAGTCTTTAATGTGGGCTTGAATATTTATATATGATATACTTATAGTAAAAAAGAGTTGTGTCCTATTTGTCCAGTGTCATAATAGAGCTCAACAGTGACCCCCCCACTTTTTGAATGCCACTGGTTCTAGAAATTAATTTCCCATTAATTTACTTTACTGATGTTTTGGGAAATCATTTATATAAAGAGTTTTAAGGATGGAACCAAACTAACCAACTATGAGATGAATGGTGACCATGACATAGGCTATTTCATTTGGAGCAAAAGGAAGCTTGGAAAACAAAAAAAACACAAAGATAGAAGACTTTGCATATACTTATTTTAAGAGTTAAGGAACTACTTATCCCATTAAACACTGAAAATGATAGCAATAGTAGTGCACTTCTTCTTGAACGTAACCATGTCCTTATTACAGTGTTTCTATTAATGGTGTTGTAATGCATTTTAATTTGTGGTGTGTGTGTGTGTGTGTGTGTAACTAACTATCCAGCCTGCAAAGATAACCACAACCCTTGATGTCTTGTCTTTCATACTGGCCCTGACAAATACTGACTTGTAGTTATTCTCTAAAAAAATTCAGCATGTCAGAAAGAGAAATCACAATTGCTCTGTATTAAAGGTAACGTAAACAATTGCAGTGCTCATGGGTAGCAGTAACCTACTATCTAGCTTAAACCTGTTTTAGGTTCATAACGTTTTTTTTTTATGTAAGTAACTAGCTATTAGCAGGTTCACATTCACAGGTGTGGTAAATATTTCCATGCTAAGAGCTAGCTCTACCACTCAGAGACGTTGCTGTTAGCACTGTAGTACTTCTCCATGAGATTGCGAATAAAACCTGTTTTCGTCAAAACAAGGTTGAAATCATAGGCATGTGGCTTCTTTAGGAGCATATACCATTATTTCACAATCTCATAGCTCGTGGTAACTCTGGCTTGGATGGTTACGACATCATGGTTAATAATCGAAATCCTTTATACACATTATGAATGGGCTTTTTACTTATGGAACCTCACTGTTGAGCTCTAAACAATTCATTATTGATTTTGAGTCACTGGGTCGCATGGCAGGGAAGCTATTGAAAAAATGCAACTATTTGTTAAAGGAATTATTACACATCAGAAATCAAAATAGGTCAGCTACATGATACTAGTTTTGTATAATTTGTTTAAATCATAATTTTCCCTAATATGGGCAAGTCAGCACAAAGGCATTGAAAATATCATTGGTTTTGTTTTTATTTATTCTGATTTTATTTTCGATATATCCCGGACCATTTTTACGTCCAAGTGTTTACATGGAAACATTGACCATTTTTATATGGCTGACCTGTGGTTATTAGTGCAAATGGCAGGGAAGGAATATCCACCACAGCTGGCATGTTATGTCAGTGGTTTGAGGAATGGATGCACTGTGTTTGTAACATCAGCGTGATCTTCTGTGTATGTGATGCTTCACCTATTGAATGCTGCTCTTCAATCAGCCCCACAGCTCTAATTTGGGATGGCTGTCCATAATGTGGAAATTACTTAAAAGGTCCATCCCTACTTTAAAGATCCTTGCCTACTCTGGCAACACTTTCAAACATTATAGCTCCAAAATCACATCATGGATTGTTAGAGTGGCCGTCTTTGATATAACAACACAAAGTCAATATGTAAATTAAGATCAAACTTGTGCATTACAATGTAGTAAAACTACACAGTTGTTTTTTTATTGTCAGCAAAACTATTTTAAAATGTTCTTTTCAGATTCAACACCCATTGCTACAACACCTGTGAACACTACAACACCCACAATGCCACCAACAAGTGAGTGCTTGAAACTAATTCTTTCAGTTCTCTATCTTGTTATAACAGACAGTTATTGTCTTAATTGACTTGTCAGATTTCACTGTTGAGATTAACTTGCATAATTATAAAATGTTTTTCATCAGATTCAACAACACCACCATTAACACCACCACCACCAACAACAACAACAACAACAACAACAACACCACCAACACCACCACCAACAACAACAAACAACACCACCACCACCAACAACAACAACAACAACAACAACAACAACACTACCACCAACAACACACCAACAACAACAACAACAACAACACTACCACCAACAACACCACCACAACAACAACAACACCACCACCACCAACAAGTAAGTGCTTAACAATAATTGAGTATAGTCTTTGATGTGGCTTGAATATTTATGATAATGATGTTTATATGTAGTAAAACCTTTTTTATAGTAAAAAGTTTGACTTCAATACCTCACAACACAAAACACAACAACACCCTTAAATTTAACAACTGTAGTTATGAGTGACTTTTCAAATATAAGGGATGGCATAACACTTCCCCAGTTAACGTTTCTATTGTAGTTTTTGTTGTTTGGAACTCCACCAACAACTATTATTACCAATAGGTATTCACAAGTAAGTTGTGGGGTAACCCTCCCTGATTGAGAATTGTTGAAATGGTGAAAATGTTCAGTAATTTATTTGAAGTAATTATTACTTACTTTTAAACTGTTGCATTTTCGGCTCCAATATCAGTGGTTACGTCTATCCCAGCTCCAACCACAGCCCTCACAACAACTACAAAGGCAACTACCACTACCACTATCACCACCACCACCACAGTTGTTACAGGTATTGTTTTATCAACAAATAGGGGGTAAGAAGGTACAAAGAATTGTCCTATGATCCATCACAAAGTATATTTTACATTATGGGTCACCTTATGTCAGATGTTTTAAACCCCATGTGTCATGATTTGCCAACTTGGTTCTACACAATAACAATTACCTGTTAATGTGAGACTTTATACAGAAAGAATCAAAATGGGTGACGTAGCTACCAGACAATATCCACACAGCACTGACTACTTCTCAAATATTGCTCTTTTTAAATTCAACCAGCCACTTGACATTTCAAAGCTGTAGTAACAAAAATGTTGAAAAGGATATGAGCATTTTTGAGATTACTAGTTTTATACCTGCCTTGTCAATGCTTTCTTTTTGAAAGTGACAATGATATTAGAAAAAATGCTTCCAAAAGCCTTGATTTACACTGGTCTCCTCTCTTGTGTATTCTTTCGTGTCCAGTCTACCTTTTTCTGGAATGTATTTTTTACTTTACATCACAACAAAAAATAGTTAATTCATGTCTATCAATAGCTTTGCTTTCTTGTCATCTTTTCTAAATAAACAGGTTTTGATGTGCAAATGTCAGTCACATTGGACAAGGAGTACACAGACGCATTAAGTAATCCAGAAAGTGACACATACAAGAATCTCAAATCAAGCATTGAAACAGTGGTAAGACATTGTTAACAATATATCCAGTTCTAACCAATTCTAACTTGTATTTAAAGTTCTTCGTGTTCTAATGTAGTTAACCGTATCTCTCTACAGTTGGAGGAACAATATAAGGGAATGACAGGGTTTCTCAGTGTTTTTGTGAAAGCGTTCAGGTATGGTAATTCTGGCACTGAAAACATTTGGATGCAGGAAGCTACACATTTCACATCACCACTTTGCTTTTGTTTGTTATTACAGACAAGGAAGTGTAATTACAGACTTTGTTGTTCAGACAACACAAGTTATAACGGATGAATTTGCCAAAGCAAATCAAGACCTCCCTGAAGCAATGAAGCCTATTGCCCCTGTTTTTGGCCCAGTTACAGCAGTTTACAACAGTAAGTTCAAAAAGGCTTTATTACTTTTTGTTTAACTTAATTGAATTCTTAACTGTCCTCTCTTTTTTTTCTCCAAAGGTCCAACTCCAATCAGCCCTCCTCCTGACATCCTTTATACTGGTAACACTATGAGGCTGACGTGTGACGAGCCTCCTGAGAGCCTTGCTATGGGAACAATTTCTGTATCTAGGTGGAAATTTAATGGACGGGAAATAAAAAATAACAGAAGGATTAAAATTACTATTTCTGGCAAAAAGTCTTTGCTTACCATTCAGAATGTCGTCCTTGCTGATATTGGTAAGTCGAAGCTAGCTGAATTTGTTGTTTGTTGGGTTTGTTGTTATTACTTTTACTATTATTATTATTTTTATGGCTAAAAATTATTTCCCATGGGCATCAAAAAATTAAAAATAGAAAGAACCCAAGCAAGATCTAATCTGAAGCGTGCTCTTATTTTTGGGGAGCATGCAGGGAAGGTTTTGAAACCATTGTTGCAATAAAAGGATGCATTTGGAGGATCAGAGACAATAACCAGGTTCATCAGTGATGACAGACCTATGTAGACTGATGTAGCCTGTTATGAAGTGCACATAGTTTGCCTACAGTGGGTTTTATTGTTATAAACCCCAGGGATTTTGTTGTTTTCTATTTTATTTTATTTTCACTTTTAATTAACCATACATGCCAGACGTTACACAAAATCATCTGGGATGTCATCCTTAGAAACTGTTTGGAAAAGGGCATGGCTGAACCCTCTGTCTATCACTATTAAGCGCTAACTTCAACCAGTCAAAATCAGCGAACTAGTAAGCCAGTTGGGAAAAGAGTCAAAACTTATTTTTCATCATGAAAAGCCTTCAGTGCTGTTCTTTGCTCTGCTTTCAAAGAAGAAGAAGAAAAAAAACAGATGCTAGTAGCATCAATAGCCTTTTTAGCAGCTGTTTTAGAATGAACAGTCATTTCTCATTGCGTCACACAGTAGTTCCTCAGAGGATGCTGATTGGTCAAAATCTCAAACATGATGGATTCACATGATTTTGGTATCTGATGAATCCAGTTGCGTCACAGTTATTCCGACCATTTTTTTGTTTTGCCAGATTGAATGGAATACGGAATGATCAAATGACACAGACTGCACAGATATATCGTAGTTAGGGTTGATTTTTATTGTTGGATTATTGTGAAAAGCTTTCTTTTCCTGTGTTAGAGTAAAATGAAAAAAATTCAATTGATTTTGAAGCTGACAGAATTATCTACTTGCTTAGCCATCATATTCATATTACAAATCAGAGCCCATATCACTCACTGCTACTGCATCTTACATTAAATATTGAATATGAAAATATTTTATAGATTATTAACAATTTTCTGTTTTTCTTTATTTCACACTGGTAGCTATGTAATTATTAATACTTTTCTTAATCACAGGAAACTATGAATGTACTCTGGAGGGCCAAGTAATTACATTCTCCCAAAAAGGACGTGTACTGGAAGCTAAAATCAAACAAGCTCCCAATGTGCAAATACAGAGTAAAGTGAATGTTAAATGCCAAGAGGTCAAGGAACAACCCCTTGATTGCTGTGTGCAGTCACCCTATACAGTGAAGTGGTATCGAGGCCTAACTGTTTTACCAACAGGTATGTATAAAGTCTTTGTTAAAAACTCCTCAATGTGATCATGTTGGAAAGCTGGACGCAGCTATTAACAGTTTATCTTATTAACAAGTTGTTAAATGTTCACAGAACAAATTCCCCAACCAGGAAGCTACTGCATCAGGCATAAATACAAGATAAGCTGTGACGAATTACTTACGATTACTTTTGAGTGTAAGGTAGATGAACCAACTGGTTATATGATGACGACAGCAATGACCATTTTCAGAGACCGTAAGAGCAACCTTTAAAACCTTTGTTTTTGTTTTGTTTTTTTGTCGTTTTTACTATCTCTTTCTCTAACACTAACTGATTATTTGTTATTATTTAACTCTTAAGCTATTGAATGTGACGATAACCAGTATGGGGCTGGACGACAAGGTGACACTTCAACTATTGGTTGTGGTAAAGGTCAAGAAGGGAGCAAGACTGCAGTCTGTGAGGAAAGAAAATGGAAACTTACAGAGGACACGTGCATCTTAACCCAAATCAAGGACTTAGTCATTGTGTCACAGGTAGGTGATCTACTGGGCATAACATATCATCCCTATTAGAAATCTCTGAAATATACAGTGTACCGTACAAGTCACAAGTATTAGCTATTAACACAAAATCCGATATTCAAAATTGGGATTTTGTGAATGCTAAAATATCCGTTAGTCCTCTCTCAAGGTACCGTAGCAGCTTCTCCTTTTTAGCCAGAGCTGACTCTTTTTCATTGTTTAAAATTACAAGGGCTCCAGCAAAAAATCATATCAACTGTCTCTAATGTTAATTTGATGAGTGAACCAAAATGAAATTTTTCTATTTATGGTGAGATCACACTATGTGATTTTAGCCCTGATTTTCCACTCTGCGACTTTTTTGTGAGATCGCCAACAAATGCCCCCAGATCAGAGGCTAATCGATGTACTGATTATACAACGGGACCCACAGGTTCGACAAGAACTCGCCAATGTCTCATCAACACCAGAAAAATATCTAGCAAGCTAAATCCTACTTTTACTGAATTAAAGGATCTGAATACTTCTTTAGCTTCTGCCAGATTATACAAAAGCAAACCAATAATGCAGTATAATCATATGTAAAGATGTGTCTTACAAATACTTATTTTCATAAATGATGTGCCTTCTGACAAGGAACACCTTTTCGCTAACTAGTATACTAGTAAAATAGCCCAGGCCTAACAACACCTATTTGTCATAAATAGTTTGAAATTTCATACTAATGAAATGTGGTATCATCAGTTTTTGTGTTTTCACTATGTTTTTTTTTTTTTTTTCAGGATTTGGAAAAGGAGCAAGTGCCTGAATTTGTGGGGAATCTGAGTAGAACTGTTCTGGAAGAAAAAACAGAAGTCTCAGAATCATCTGCAACTATATCAGCTATTGTTGGGATCCTAAACACCATTGCAAATGTGTCCACTACTGTTGATAAACCTGTCATGGAGGTAGGTTAAACCCTCTGCTCTGTAGCTTCTTGGTGAAGGTTATCTGCGTTATGTCAGCAAATGTACCTTTTGACTTTCTGAAGAGGTTGTACCCACACAATGAAATGTCTTTTAATCTGCAGGATGTACTTCAAACAGTTGATGTCATCATTGGTGATGATGCAAGAGAGTCCTGGGCAACTCTGAATTCAAATGGAACCCGCAATGCGAGCTCAGAATTACTGGGTTCACTGGAGACTCTCTCTAATGGGTTAGTCGGGGAGTTTGTCATCGAAACTGAGCGGATCCTGCTCAACAGAACCAGGTTTAACAATTCCTTCATGGCAAATCTGAACTCCAGCATCATTTTAGACATTCCAGACACCGACATTACCAACACCTCTATCACCACCATCACCTTCTCCACCCTTAATAATGTTATGCCAGTACGGAATACCAGCTTTAACATGAGCCTCTTCAATGCAAACAGCAGTGAAACAGTCAGTGATAACACCATCAATGCTGCTGTAGTGTTGATCCGAATTAATGCAACAATACAGAATGTCACTCTGACCTACAACAAGCGGAACAAGTCCCTGTCACTAAACCCTCAGTGCGTCTTCTGGAACTTTACACTCTTTGATAATTTGGGCGCTTGGGACGATGAGGGATGTGAATTTGTTTCGGACGTTAACAATACGGTAACCTGCAACTGTAACCATCTCACCTCTTTCTCAATTCTGATGGCAACGGACATCCCTCCAGAATTGAAAGATGTCTTGGATATAATAACTTATGTTGGAGTTGGGATATCTCTGGCAAGCTTAGTTATATGTCTCATTATTGAAGGATACGTTTGGAAAGCCATTACCAGAAATAGCACTGCTTTCATGCGTCATGTTTCCATCATTAACACTGCCCTATCTCTATTGATCGCTGACATCTGTTTCATCATTGCTGCCTCTGTTGCCAAGAACTCCCTTGAAAATCCAGGAGAAGACTACAACGTTCCAGTTGGACCATGCAGCACAGCAACATTTTTTATGCACTTTTTCTACCTTGCTCTGTTCTTTTGGATGCTTGTGTCAGGCCTTCTACTCTTTTACCGGACAGTCATGGTCTTCTCCCACATGTCCAAGTCAACCATGTTGGCCATTGGCTTCAGTTTAGGCTATGGGGGCCCTCTGATTATAGCTGTAATTACTGTTGCTGTCACAGCACCGGGAAAAGGATACATCAGGAAAGACTATGCTTGTTGGCTGAACTGGATGGAAACAAAGGCTCTGCTGGCCATGGTGATACCTGCCTTGATCATAGTTTTTATCAACATTTTAATTGTAATTGTGGTCCTGTTCAAAATGCTAAGAAGAGGTGTGGGAGACGCCGCCCAAACAGATGAGAAGCATACACTGTGGGTCATTGTAAGGTGTGTGGTCATTTTGACACCTTTATTTGGACTGACCTGGTCTTTAGGAGTTGGAACCATGGTATCGTCAACAAATAAAGGACTCCACATTGCCTTTGCATTCTTCAATTCACTACAGGTATTTGCATCCATTGAAATACATGGTTTTAATTTAATGCTTACAAGGCAGTATTTTTGTATAATAAAACATTTTAGGTACTTTCCTTCAGATGATAAAGAATACTTGCCATCTGTTTTTTCTTCAGGGTTTCTTCATTTTGGTGTTTGGGACACTATTCGATTCAAAGGTAGGTTGACTTCAAAAAAGATATATGTTAGTTTGGGAAACACACTTTATTTTACTTTGTTGATGAGAGTTAGATGATAAGATTGATACCACTCTGACAATAGTGGAGAAAGTATTCTTTATTTAAGCAACAGTACCAATACCACAACCTTCGTTTCAAGTAAAAATACAGAAGTATTATCAGCAAAATGTATTCAAAGCAACACTATGTAAGATTTGATATTTGTTGGCGCCCTCAGTTGCAATAGCACTATATATAGCCAACTGTAGACGTGCATTTATTACAATAACGTTACTTATTATCAAAAACTAGCGACTAACTAACTAGTCAACAACTTTTCTAACACAGCCAAACATCAAGCAAGAGCAACAACACATAGCATAGCAAGCCAGCTAATATTACTTATTTGTCCAACAGCAGGAAGACCTCACTAATAACTAAAAGCCAGTCTGAGATTTACTCTTGCCTGGTGGGCTCTTGCTCGGTCACTCTCTCATTATATCTTACATGATGCTTCAGTATCAAAATAAAAAAATGAAATAAAAATGCTCAATTATTATACATATATAATAAGAGCAGGTTTTTACTGTCTGAGGTGGAGTATAAAAAAAGTAGTGTAATTACGTGAATGTACTACTTTCCACTGCTGCCATTCCTAATGTCTATGCTAACCTTAGCTGATTGTCTTCTGTCTAGCAGAAAGACTGGGGGAGCAGCTAGCCTGGCTCTGTCCAAAGTTCAACAGTGCCCCTACCAGCACCTGTAACACTTACTGACAAGTTGTGGCTTATCTGGTTTATTTAATCTATACAGAAACGAAAAGTTGTGGTTTTGTGAGGATTTGTGTAGTGTAACCATTTCTTGCCGTTAAACAGTATACAATATGTTAAGTAGTAGTTTTCCTCTTGGTTGTAGTTTCATATTTAGCGCACAGATATGAGAGTTGTATCAATGTTCTCATTTAACTTGAGAAGAAAGTGAATAAGAAATATTTCCCAAAATGTGAAACTGTTCTTTTAAAGTTCCAATTTTGCTAAATATTTACCAAATTGCATTAAATTTTATTGTGCTTGTAGATCCGTGCTCTTCTCTCAAAGAAATTACCTGGGCCTACATCAAGCACAGGCTCTAATCCAACGAGAGTAAGTAATTTATTTTTAACATAACAATACTATTGCATAATGGTTTTCTTAGTTAAAATATAATACCTGTAGTTCAATCTACAGACCTGGCAAATGTTTCAGTAATTATTACATTCAATCTGCGAATGTTTTTTTTTTTTTGCTATCATTTATTGTTATACATTTCTTTCTACTATAGAGTACAAGTGGTGGTGTTTCCTCTCTCAGTGGACTAAACTTGATAAGTCGACTGCGTGGAAGAAGATGTAAGTTGTTGTTTTAAATTTAGCAGCTTTTTGACTTACTTGAATTAACTTGCCTAAGTAACCGTTAATTTGTCTTTCAGATATCTATCGTGTGTCAGAAGCGACAAACTCAAGCAGCAATGGTGCATCGGAGTCATTCATGAATATATGAATCAACACAATAATATGTACATATAAAATCGATTTCATTACTGATTCAAAAGACCAGACAGTTATTGTAAGATCTTTCAGTAAATAATCTGAACCTTTGTTTTGTATGACAACTTTATTTTTACTGGGATAATATTTTAAACACTGGTGCAACAACTGGGCAGTCAATTGGTCCGTCTATAATGACAATACTTAGGAAAGCAAGTGTGACATATATAAATTGAGATTTGGAAGCGGTGTAGCTATGCTAAACTCTGGCTCTGCCATCTTTGTTGTATTTCACATATAATTTCAATAGTCTCCATCATCCACAGAGAGTTGTAATATACTATTTTATTGTTATTTTAATTGATTATTCAACATCTGGCCAAGTGCTAATGTGCAATGTACTGGTAAAAATTAAATTAAGAAATGAAATTGGAAAACTATTAATGCAATACAACTATAATGTTAATTTGCTCAGAAATGTGCTAGTTAGGATGAACTTTGCTGTTAAATAATATGGATGGTTCATTGAAATGTCTGTGAACAGTAGATATATTTTTTCAAATCATTTATTTTTATAAAGTTATAAATAAAAAGCTTTCCAAACTTCAAAGAGTGTTCCTCTCTGCACTGCTACGAGAATGACGACAGCTGTCTAGCCCCTGGCTTTCAACCACAGAGCAATAAGCGGTTTTAATGTTTTATCTGGTTTTGTTTTGTAACTTGTTAGGCCCACTGATGATCTAGCAACAAAGGATTTAAGAGCGGCACAACTGCCTTTTCCTGCGATCCCTGGTTAGCGCACAGCTAATGGGAGTCCAACAAGCATCTGCAGCTTTAAACATTAAGTCTGCCAGCAGACTGTACTGGAGCAAAACAAAATGAATGCGGTCGTTAACTCTGCAAGGACAATAGAAGCAAAACGCCTTCCCTCCTCCACCCTGCATCAGCAGACACTGCACAGCAAAGCGTTTGGACGCCGGGAAATAATGTCTCCAAGCCTGGCTCACAGGATTGCCAGCTTATCACCACAGCACAGTGGCAACTCCACCATCTGTACATCCATGCAACTGTTATTTTCATAGCACATACAATGATGATTTTGTTAAGTGAATAAATTCAATACTCAGGCATTGAAGTGCTTTCCCCCATTTACAGGATAGCAAATCCAAAAGAAGCAGACTCCAGCCAAGAAATATTATTAGGACAACACAAACAAATCCTCCAAGCTCTTACTAATCGCAATCAGGCAATGGTAAATCAAATCACTCCATTAAGCTAAGAAAATTCACATGTTCAATTTTATTGAGCACCAAATCATCTTAAGCCTTGTATGGTATTCGGGTCAAATAAATCTGTTTCAGATTTTTACAAGAAGAAAAATGGTACAAGTATACATTTTTTCTAGCTGAAACTCAATGGCCTTAGCTTATTTTCTGTGATATTAATTAAGCACACATGCTACTATACCCCACACATTTACAACCTTCATATGGTCTTCGGGTCAGTTCGACCCGCATGCACAGAGACACACAGAAACATGATCACACACACATACACAGACACACACACACAGAGAATGTTACATTGTTATAATCTAAGCACAGAGAAGCTGTTTGCTCTCACTTTTCCACACTCTTTACCCTGTGTCCACCTGCAAGCCATAACATTGTAAACATCATACATTTTGTTACACCTGCACATCAAGCGGGTGGGACAAAATAGATAAATACCTCTGCATGACAGTACAGAATCTTCCACTCTCAGTAGGACCAAAAGATTTAGCTGTCAGATGGCTTTAGAGCTCATATTTGAAGAGAGTCAGGCACACAGCCATGTGGAAGAGGAAGATGTCTCCAAATATGAGGATAATTTAGATATCAACTCAGAGTATTCTGATTCTGAAAGTGAATTTGAAGATGGCCTTCACTCGGAATATGCACAAGGAGCCCCACAGATAGCCACTGGAAGAGCCCCACAGATACACTGTAAAATGTAATTTTAGGCCCCTTCATATCTTAAAGAGCTCATAGCACCCTATTACCCCTCTAGAACACTACGTTCTCTGAATGCTGGGCTACTTGTGGTTCCTATAGACTCTAAAAGTAGAACAGGAGCTAGAGCCTTCAGTTACCAAGCTCCTCTCCTGTGGAACCAGCTTCCAGTTGTGGTTCGGGAGGCAGACACCCTCACCACATTCAAGAGTAGGCTTAAGACATTCCTCTTTGATAAAGCTTATAGTTAGGACTGGATCAGGTGAGTCCTGAACCATCCATACCAACCATAGTTATGCTGCTATGGGCCTAGACTATCAGGGGATTTCCCATCATGCACTGAGCTCCTCTCTTCCTCTCTCTCTCCTTCTGCACTCATTCATGTCCCATTAATGCATGTTACTAACTTCACTTCTTCCCCGGAGTTCTTGTGCTTTGTCGTCTCGCAGGTTCTCATGGATCCTGGTGGAGCCTCCTGCCATGGTCCTGCTTGACTGCTATTGCTAATATCACTGATATTAGTTTTATTATTATTATAAGTATTATTATTGCTACGATTACTGTTGTTGCTGTTGTCGCTGCTTGTTGTCCCCCATTGTTGCTGTTGTCGTCGTCTTCTTCATGTTCATCATCATCAGTCACTACTATTAGTGTAGTTGTTGCTACTGTTGTGCTGTGCACCTGTCTGTCTGTTTGTCTGTCTGTCTGTCTCTCTCTCTCGCTCTCTCACTCTCTCTCTCTCTCTCTCTCTCTCACCCCAACTGGTCGAGGCAGACGGTTTCTGCCTCTTAACAGGCAGTTTTTCCTTGCCCACGTTGCCAAGTGCTTGCTCATGGTGGTACTGTTGGGTCTCTGAAAATGTTATAAGGAGTTCAGTCGAGACCTGCTCCATTTGAAAAGTGTCCTGAGATAACTTCTGTTATGAATTGGCGCTATACAAATAAAATTTAATTGAATTGAATTGCCTCTTAAAAAACATGATGAATTAATTTTACCACTCACGAGATAGATTTATTTAGATCTCTCTGATGTAAGCATAACTTTTACTTTAGCATGCAATGTTATTAGGTGAAAATACCTTTTATTGCTGGGATTATGGAATGTGTGGATTGATCACTATCTGCCTGAGCCTGGAAGGGGACAGTTAAAAGAAATACAATAATTTAACACAACCAAAGCTCACCACAACTCACAAACATCTTGTGTCCAGTACAAGTGAAAACTGTAACATAGGCCTATAACCCACAAAGACATTTCCTAGTATTAAAATGTACATATTCTGGACAAGATGACCTTAAAGAATAATGTAAGCCACTGAGTATGCCAGCAAATACGTTCCCTATCATAACAGGCTATGATAAACTGAGTGTTAAGATCTTTTCAGACAGGGAGACACTCTTGTCTGTACCGAGTCCGATCTTCGGGCTCTCATTGCGTGAGTAAACAGTGGGCGTGCTCATTGGGCGCGCTACACGTGGTAACCATGGAAACTGCACAGCTACGAATATTACACTAAGGTTTTTCCTCAATTTTAACGTGACAAAAGTCTTGAAAGTTACCTATTTTCAACACCGAGGAAGTTGTGGATTGAAAAATGAATAAAGTATTGACCAAGTTTCATCAAAATATAGCCACGTTATGTCCATAATATAGTTCAGCTAGCGTTAGCCCACATTACTACACATCATTACTAGAAAGCACAAAAAACTGGCGCTGACTTACAGAAACAAAAGGGTCTGCACAATCTTAAGTAAAAGCATATAACCACAAAACGAAATACTTTAAATATTAAAAGTAAAAGTAGCCTACTCAGTGGAGGAAAATGGCTCTTGTGATTATTATTATATATCACGTATGTATTATTACAGATGCAGTAATGTAAAAAGTACAATATTTCCCTCTGAAATTTAGTGGAGTAAAAGTAGAAAGTAGTATGAAAAGAAAAAAAACTCAATTAAAGTGTTTAAAGTACTTTGTACTTAAGTATTGAGTAAATGTACTTAGCTACATTCCAAAACAGAAAAAAAGCACAATTATCAAAAACTTACTTTTTCTAAATGAATCCAGCTCAAGTAGACTGAGCTGGTGAGATTTTTCAACCACAAATTACAAGTAACTTACTAAAAGCGAGTGTTAATAGCAGGTTGATAAAAACTGATTTTGGTCAATTTACTATTTTTAGTTAAATACCATGTTTGCATTTACAGTGTAGCATATCTTGAATTAAAAGCCAGTTTTAACAGATAGGTCTTCAATTTCCTAGCGACAAAAGTAAGCAATTTAAATTGCTTTCGGAGCAAGGTAAATTTCCACAGCAATGGGATTACTTTGATATTGTATGCTATAGTTACTTTTGGATGACCTCTGGCAAAGAATTCTCTTTAATTACATAATATTACATTAGTTTGACACTAGAGACAGTGTTGCCTTCATGGCATCATTAGTGAAGACAGATTATTCAATAATTCAAATAATTTGAGTTATAGAAATCTTCCCTTATACTGAGACTATGACCTCTGTTAAGAGGTCTAGGTGGTCCAGATGCCAGTCTGTGTGCCAGCGCCTCTGCAGCTCTGCACCATCTGCAACACTTAATGTGTACAGAGAGCAACTTGTGCTCTCGTCATCATGTTAGTAGCCATCATTGTGCACACCAAAAGGCCACTCTTGAAGTTGAAAGCAGGAACTTGATGTCTATTTGAAAAAACTTTAACGGAGGCGGCACGTCGTCATCGCACAGCTTCCTCGTTCTTCTGGACTTAAAAGACTTGTTGGCTACCCATTCAAGTTAGCTACTTGGTGTGTTTTTGAAAGGGGTGGAAGAGGAAATGATTGGTATGGGGTTCAATTGAATGAACCAAGTGAGGCTTGTACATAGATTGCAGCAAGAACCATGCTGGAAGTCTTAGACCTGCCTGTGACTCACCAAGTCCTAGGCTGTTTGTCCATGCCCTCGATACATAGAAGACTTTTCTCATCTGATCTGATAAAACCAGATAAGTTCATGTAACTTAAAATAGTTGAAACGGATTAAAACTAACTAAATTTTGTCTTGATCAAGTAGCTTAAGTAAATTTAAGTAACACTGACATTATTTTTAATAAAATACGTAGTAAATGTACTTGATCAAGAATGTTTCTGTAACTTACAGTTAGTGTCACTTAAAATTGCTAAAAGCTGCTTATTGCATTACAGTAAGTGGAGTGGTGCTTCACAAAAGACAGTGGTGATGAACACATAACATCAACACATAACTGCAAATTATTTTAAATTTACCTATATGTAATTATACATTTCTCACCAAGCATATAGATCTCCACTGTTCGTCCTCTTTTTCAGTTTCATATCCTGATGGCATATACTGCATTTGACTTTTCTTTTTAGCAGTTTCCTCTTCTGAAGCCACTTTATCAGCTTCAGGGCATTTCTTTTCGAGGTTTCCTCTTTAATGAGCTTCTTCAGTTGGTTGAATATGGTCATGGTTTTATGCATTTAAAAAAGCATTAAACCAGAGAATGTCTGTGGTGGTTTGGGCGTGTACGTTGAGCTTGCAATCCCGCTCTCAGCACGTCATCAACGCGATGACGTTGGGAGGCGGCAACATTTAACGTTCATATTT